AAGCTAACTGGAGATAAGTATCCCATTTACATCAGTGCCATTCCTCAGGGACCAAGTTAGTGTTCTGTAGCCCTAGTGCATAAAGAGTTACAAAAAATACACAAATAAACTTGAATGGACTTCTAGTGACATAATGTAGTATTCTATAGCCTGGAGGAGTCAGTGTGTTAAAAAAGTGAAAGCAGTCTCATCATAAGGTAATTTTTGGTTTCTGTACAAATGGTTGACACCAGGGACTTCTCCTGGGCTGTTAGATCTCTATTTTGTGTAGTAAAAGTAACATTCAAGTCACATGTTACGCAACATAACATAGTCATATGCTGTACTCTCTCAGAATCGGGATAATTTTTGAAAGCAGCCAAGTAAAAGGGGACAGAGTTACCATTCTACCTCTAGCTTCCCCCCAGGAAGCCCTATTAAATAATCAGTTCCCGAATGCTATCACTGAAGCAATGAGGACCTTCAACTCAAAAGTAAGTGTTCACCTTGTGGCTCATAAGCCTTTGAAAAATGATCCACAAAATAAAGTCAGCCTTGTTCCTTTGAGCTATAGTAAGTTGAAAACTAGTTACCCTTCAAAGTCATACCCCTGCACACTATGTCAAGTGGTTTAAAAACAGCTGAAGCAAAAACCTTGAAAGTATCTGCACATCTTACAGAAGTAATTCACGTCTGAAATAACAGAAGTGTTGACAAACACGATGAAGCAGCTAATCACTACCATCCTACAGCAGACATTTTCATGCTATTGAAATAACATGCAACATTTCTAAGCTTTGGAACTCCTTGCCACGGGACATCACGAATCCCAGAAATATACAGAACCGACTCTGTTCTGTGGCTTTTTAAGTTTATTACCTCACTTCAGTGTGTTGGAGAATTTCTGCATAGTCACATACGTGCTGCAGTCTCATATTCTTCCTAAGGCATCTGCCGCAGGCCATCAAAGACCAAACACTAGGTGGCCCTCTCATCTAATGTAGCATCACCAGCACTGACGCCAGTTAACAATATAGCCATATTTTCAGCTGCCACAGAAGTATGTAGTATTTACTTTAAACCAGTGAGAAGAGTCAACACGAGCAGTTTGTTTTGAATAGCTACTTAGAAAATGTAGAGGGCTAGGGAAGCAACATAGCACAGAATTCTGCAAAAACTTCATTTATTAAATCTGCAATTTTCCAAAGTATCTTTGTAAAACCAATGGGATATCTGAAAAACACCTGTTGAGCTGAAGCACAAAGACCTTTAAAAACAGCAGAAGGTTTGTTACAGAAGAAATGTGTGAATAGCAAAAAGATAAGGTTTCCAGCTCAGAAACCCCAGGAATCGGCATTGAAGACTCTCAAAGGTGTGGGATTACATTGTTTTACCATCAGCTGTACCCAATATTCATTAGGTGTTTGGAAGGAAGGTGCTTCAACACAAGTTTAATAAGCACACGGCCATCCCAAACATCACACGGCTTCCTTACTGTAACAAAACTTTTAGTCAAGAATATGTTTGATCTTAACTGAAGAGCACCCAAAGGATTTTAAACAGTAGCACCAGAATGCTTTGTCTTTCTTGTTCACGATGCGTTCTGTATCATACCTCCCAGTCACAGCAAGTTGATGCACACACACTCCGAAACAGTAGTCCAGAAAAACGGAAATTCTCCCAAATCCACATGTTCCCATACAAAATTATACCCGTTATTTCAGCCTATGCAGTTCTTTATTTCTTTCCTTTCTTGGCTGCAGTCTTCTTTCCTCCTTTTTTAGCATTATTCCCGTATTTTGCTTCCAGTTGGGCCAAAAAGTCATCCATTTCCTTTTTTCGATCTTTATTTCTGCTCTGGGAGAGGGGAAACAAACCCAAAACTTTTACTACTTCCTAATACAGATTATTGTATTGAAGTTAGATAGCTACATAAAATCTCAGAATAGAGTAAACAGGGAATACAAGCTACAGGAGGTATAGCACTGTCAAGCAGAAGCCTACTTGTATACTCTAGGCTCTATACCTAACTTCCAGAAGTATCAAGACAGAGGTGAAGAGTGGCTATCAAAAACATCACGACATAAGGCTAGGAAAAGCAAAGAAATTTCTAGTTTAGACCCAAAACTCTATTACAATTTGAGGAATGATTAAGCATGAACATTCTAGGAAGCCCACTGGACAATAAGAAAGAAGAAACAAAACATTCTGAAAAACAGAATGTAAACAGTATGTTTCTTTCCTAGATCCCCAAGATAAAAAAGCAAAATAGTAAGACCTATCAACTTCTACACCCTCGTGGAATCCCTCAGAAAGAAAGAATCATTAACACTCCCTATCTAACTGCCTAAAACTAGAAGTTAAATATTTTGATTGTGTATGCAGTAAGGATAAACATATTAGAATAACTTTGTTAATTTTTAAAAAGACACAGGTAATAAAATCCATACCATACTCCGACTATTAAAGTACATAGATAGTTAACATTAAGGTCAGATTTTAACCTCGGGAACTCAGAATGAGTTGCAAATACAAAGACACTCAGGGAACACACAATTATAAGCCAGTAACGTAATTATCTTCAACAGATACAAAAAGCCTTACTTGAATCAGTGCTTTCAAGTCATCTTCTCCACCAAGGCCCAGTTCATCTTTAGTCTTTTCTGCCTCTCTAGCTTCTTTTTCTGCCTAAAATAGCAAACTAGTTTTTTAAAAAGTATTTTGCACCTTATTTGACAAAGTCTTATAGTAGTTACCAAACACTTTATTTTGCATCTGTATATAAATAGCTGCAAGGAAACACGAACGGTTTCCAAGTTTGGCCACAGATGAGAGATCAGTCAAAGAGAAAGCCCGTTCTGGTTCTGCAGTTTAGTAGAGCGGGACAGTTTTTTGCCGTTTCACAATGCTGAACGTGGCAAGATGTCCATCCCCATCCCTGTTCCCCACACCCACACTTTCTTTTGTCTTAGCGGCTATTACATTTTCTTACGTTAGAGAAAGGTGATTGTGATGTGCATATAACATATTCTACAAAGTGTCCAAAAAACCAAAAAAACCCCAAAAAAACCCCAACCAGGTTGGAGAAAAGGTCCATTTAGTCCAGAATGTTATTTTACACTTGCCAAAAGGCAAGCATAATATATTTCCACCCCACATACACTTCTTAATTCAAGCAACTCATGGCTTTGTAAATAAGTGCAGGGACATGCTAAACTGTAATAAGCCATTGTGTATAATAACGAAATAAAAGAAAGAAGTAATAGGCAACAGCCTGTTACAACTCAAAAGCCCTTCACAACAATTTGGGGGGGGTGGGGGTGGAGAACCCAGGTGACTACATGTGAAAATCAAAGATACTGGCAAGATCTGTAACCCAGGAACCCTGTGGCAAACATTTGTCTTAAGAACGGTTTCATTTTTTTCTACCAAGGGAGATTAAAAGCTTATCATAAATAATGTTTCCCTTTGGTCCCCGATTGATTTAACCTACCCGCCTTTTTCTTGCGATCATTTTCTGCTTAGACTCTTTTACAAAACCTTTGTAGGATGGGACTTCTCCAGAGTCAATGGCTTTTTCTATGATTTTCCGTATTCTTGGTTCATCTGTATAGTCCACACACAACACAGACTCCATTATTCTGTCCATGTCACCCTCAAAATCCATGTATGCTGCTTTAATATCAGCTAGCTCTTCTTCTGAATCTTTATAGCTCTTTTCGAAGTCTTCAATATCTTTTACACTGATCTGAAACAAAGAGGTGACACTTCTTGAGTTACAGGATTTATTCACCAGAAGGATTTAAGAGACAGCATTAAAAACCCCAGTGTTTTACACACAGTTCGTAAAGCTACCACTCTGAAGCATCGGGCTTCCCCTTCCCGGAGGGTGTGCCGTCCCGCGGAGGTGAGCCCTGCAGGGTCCCACCTCCGGTTCCCAGACCCCGGCCCTCACCTTCTTGAAGAGCAGCCGCCAGTAATCCTGCCAGTCCCGCTCGCCCCTCAGCGCCGCGCCCTCCTCGTCGACCGTGCCCTGCTCATCGTACACGGCGCGCTGCTCCGCGTCGCTCAGGACGGCGTACGCCTTGCCCAGGATCTGCGGGGACACAGGGGACGGTCGGTCGGTCGGTCGGACAGTCAGGGAGCCGG